ACCAATCTGGCGAATTTCAATTTCAAATGTATAGTGCTATATTTGACCCTGTAACTTCCCAAAACGCCATAAAACCTGTACATAGGGGGTACTGTTTTACACGTGAGACTTTGCTGAATACAAATATGTGTATTTTATTGCAGTAAAAACAAACAGTATTATGACATTCTCAGTTAATATGTCATGTAGAACTAAAAAAAATTAAAAAATTCTTATTTTTTCCCATTTTTTTCATATTAAATTATGTTTCATAGCTAAATATTTGATATTAAATTAAAGCCCTGTTGGACAGACATGTAGCGCAAATGCCAGGTTTTGTTTACATTTTGTTTCGTTCACAACGTGTACATTTGGCTCCGTCCTTAAGGGGTTAATACATATGCTAAGGGATTGGTGTACAGTGTTTGTAGGGCTGTAATGTTTATGGAGGGTAGGCAAACATGTATTGTTTTCAATTCTTTATTTTTGTCAGCTGAGTGCTCTCTGCAAAGAAGGCCTCCATGCACGGCTGGCTTATCTCAGTACAAGGATTCCCCCTGGGTACATGAGGGAGTGACCTAACCCGATGGATCCCAAGTAATTTGTGAAACCATTCTTAAGCAGTTTGACTACTAACACTGGAAGGGTTTCCAGGGTATGCCTGGCATTATAACCACTATAGCAGGCTGTAGTGATTTTGAGACTTGGAGTGTTCCTTTAAGATACCGCACACTGCTGCTATATAGGTTTAGGTAATACATAAGCCCTTCCTTAACCTCTTCACTACAGGAATTATGAATACATAATTTCCTGTGCATGCACCCATACCCCAAAATCATGTATGCAGGATTTTTAGTTTTGGAAAAGAAATTTGCTTGGTGCAAAAGATTTTTGTTTGAATTTGTGCTCTTTTTTGGAATCCCAGAAAGGAGAACCGGCACTATCATTGCAGGCCATTACGGTGGACACCTTGGTGCTGTGAAGTCTACAAAGCAAAATCTAAAAGTCTCCCTCACTGGACCTATGCTGATCACAGTGCAGGTCTAGAATATCACTGAGTGCAGGTCTCTGCTGATACGCCCTCACAGTCACAGACCAGAAGGAAGCATTCACAGACGTCTGCACCCAGCATGAGGTGCAGAGATGCTTCATAACACACTGGACCATCAGGGAGCCACAATGGACCACCAAGGAAATGATTGCCTCTCTCCTTGCATAAAAGTTAAGGGGTGGTGGTGGGTAAAAAAATAAATAAACAAATGATCTTCGGTGGATGGGCAATCAGATTTTTCTTGAATCAATAATGTGCTCACATATATATTAATTATATCCTTGAATAATCTGTTTTTCAAAAAATAACACCCAGGTCTCTCTTAAAAAAAATATATGTAAACTCTAAATGCCATATCTTAATTGATTTTACTGTAAAGAACTCTTTCATTCCCGTCTTAAAGCAGACCTTGTAAATAAAATCCCTGGTGGTAACATCACCACTTGCTCTGCAGTGGCCTAAAGGTGCAGGTTAAAGGACCACTATAGTGCCAGGAAAACATACTCGTTTTCCTGGCACTATAGTGCCCTGAGGGTGCCCCCACCCTCAGGGACCCCCTCCCGCTCGGCTCTGGAAGGGGGAAAGGGGTAAAAACTTACCTTTTTCCAGCGCTGGGCGGAGAGCTCTCCTCCTCCGATCCTCCTTCGCTCCTCCCCGTCGGCTGAATGCACACGCGCGGCAAGAGCTGCGCGCGCATTCAGCCGGTCACATAGGAAAGAATTATCAATGCTTTCCTATGGATGCTGGCGTGCTCTCACTGTGAAAATCACAGTGAGAAGCACGCAAGCGCCTCTAGTGGCTGTCAATGAGACGGCCACTAGAGGAAATAGGGGAAGGCTTAACCCATTCATAAACATAGCAGTTTCTCTGAAACTGCTATGTTTATGAAAAAATGGGTTAACCCTAGAAGGACCTGGCACCCAGACCACTTCATTAAGCTAAAGTGGTCTGGCTGCCTAGAGTGGTCCTTTAAGGTAAATTTGATTTACTTGAAACATTTCCTCGTTGCAGCCACCATGTTCATCAAGTGATTCCTCTTCAACTCCTGATGTTTCATCTGCCAGGAGCCCACGTCAGTGCTGTAGTCTCGCTAATGCGTGATAGACATGCACTGATGTCAATGGAGGAACCCACTAGACCATGGAGCCTCCATAGACATTACTTTTTTCCTCATAGCCATCACGGCTTGGAAAATTGACAAAACTTGACGGCAGTAGGTAGCTCCACCTTGTCAATTTTTTTTTTGAGGGGGGAGAAAGAGAAGAAAGCCTCTTTAATGGATGACCCCTTATCTGTTGTATTTTCTTGCAAATGAACAGGTTAGCACATAATGGCTGTGTATTTTTCTATATAATTATTTTAGCAAGAAGAATGGGCAGCTATATCACCTGCAAGAATTAGGGGCCTCCTAGACAACTATTACAAAGACTGCATGCTCTCATTGATGCTAAAGGGGATAATACACAGTATTCAGAACTAAGAGTATACAGACTTTTGAACAGGAATCATTTCATTTTTTTTCTTTCTTGCCATATTTTATTGTATGATTGTGCCATTCTGTTATAACCTACAGTTGAATATGAATCCCATAAGAAATAAAAGAAAAGTGTTTTGCCTGCTCACTCGTGTTTTCTTTAAAAATCGTACATATATTTTGCAAACTTTTGAGCACAACTGTATGTATGCACAACTGAGTGTATATAGGATACGGTATATTGGAGAGGATTATATACTATATAAAGGGGGGAGGAGGAAGATGTTTTGTTACATGTTCAGAAATGGTATTTATTCACAACACTGTTTTCCTATTATAACTTTGTTGTTTGGTAAATGACCTTTTATAAGTTTTTCTGTCGAATCAAAATGTTCATTTAGTTTCTCTTCATAAATGTCATTCAATGCACACTGAAATTAAAAATAAATTTAAACATCACATTCCAGGATACCCAAAATATGCAGGTGATGGTTTCTTATCAAATTGCTTTTATTGAATTGATTAAATATAATATGGTATTTATTTGTATTCTCCAGATCAATCATGCTCAGCTGGTGAGTCATACAAAGGCACAATAAGAAAGAGATACAGATAGTTGGCATACTACTTTATTTTTTATATCTACATTGACATGGGCCATTGATTATATACTCAATTATTAGTTCATGTTTTCGTAATATTTTTCCATTTGAGATTCCTAATTTTTAAGTAGGAAGGTATTGGAACAAAGACAGGCTTATGCATCAAATATCCACTGCAAATCCTCTTTTTAAAGTTTCATGACAGCTCCTGTCAGGGTCTTGTCCAGTCACTGACAATTTTTTCGCAACTATTTCTACCATACTGATTGCAAAAAAAACAGAAAATTTCTCACTGGAGGACAATTGTAGCTGTGTGTTACTTGTCTAAACCTCTCAAAACCACACAGTGTTTAAGTCCTTATGACAATCAAATGATCAATAGTTGTTTGTGGTTTTGTTTTGTTTTATATCTCATCAAAACCAATTCAGGGAAACTCAAAATTCTTTATTCATGCATCTTAACAAACCTATAGTAGAAGAGTAAAGACGAACGAATTGCAAATAATCTATAACATGTGCAAACCTTTTTTCGTAATGTTATTTTCTATAAATTTGTATTAGCAAATTATATCAAAACCCACTTCAGCCCAATTACATCCAAGGGCGCACAATGCTAATGAAGACGAGAGATATAAACATTATTATAAATATGGAAAGCACAGAGTTTTTTTTATCAATGAATGACAAAATGAATGTGTATCCTTGCAGGATAAAGAAGTGTATATTTCAACATTACATGTTATTTTTCAAACATCACAAATACAAACTCCAAGATTGTTGGACTACAAATCTCTCCATCCTCAGCCAGACAACACCAGTCTGTGAATTGTGTGAGTTGAAGTTCAACAGCAGCTGAACACTCAAGTGTAAACTCATCCTTTTATTATGTGCAGCCTTGGTTATACTTGCAATCATTTGACATTTGTCTTTCCACTATCTGCAGCAGGTTAAAAAAAAAAAAAAAAAAAAGAAAGAAAACCAGTCTTAAATAAAGACATTTCCTTTTTGTTCTTTTGTGTTTTTAGTAGTGCTGCCATCGCATTGAGTAGTGGGAATGTGAGTAAAGTGTTGCTGATCTCGTTAATCTGTGTCTATCTTTGACCACTTGATTGCAGAAGATAAAGAAAGCAGGATTGTGTTGCTATTGCATTGCAATGCAACTTTAATTGTTTGAAAAGCTCAAAAGCATTCCTACATCTTAACAAGTATTGTTTTACTGTTTGGGTTTATAATCTAAAGGGGGTTTAAGTATGGTGACAAGTATGTGCTCTTTTTTTTGCTGCACACCACACATCCAATGAAAGGATCACCTTCAAGGCAGCAATATATATACACTGATATAATTTGTCACATTCCTGACAGCTCTACAAGAGCAGCTAAAGTAGTGATTGTGCTTCAATTCTTGCCACCCACTACACAGTGATATCTCAGCATTTAACACCTGTTTTGCTATTATAACAAACTGCAGAATGTCCTCACATGCAGCATTCTTAAGTGTTTATAACGACTGAACAAATATTTTCTGCAAATCCACATTTGTTTCCAAACCGTGGTATACTAAAAAGTGGTCCAAAGTTACAAACTTGGAGTAATCATGATTCATGAATGGAATCAGCCTGCTTCTTCACATCGGTTCCTATGGTGATTGCCCCAATTTAAGCACTGCACTTTGTACCACTTTTCAGAACAATACAGTTAAATGTATACATTGTGGCTGCACCAAGAGAGACCAGTCACTTTGTGACCATTGATGTAAGAATGGCTATATATATTCCCCAAACTACTACAAAGCTGTGCCTGCTATCCACACCCCAAACCTTGCCCTCCTAACCATAGACAGTCACATGACCCTGCCTCTTGAATTAAAAGCCCTGAAAATGACATCTCCCTGACACAATAGCTCATACACCATCCTAGGCGATTGGCTTAACGCTTTCCCACCTCTCCTCGCCCTCCTCCCCAAACACCTGCCCAGCTTGACAGGGACGTCACTACGCCTGCGCACGATTTAAATGCCCTGCAGCAGGAGCCCGGCTGCCTGTGGCACTGTATCTTGTCCCATTCTGGAGCTTAGAATCCCATCACATAGGTCTGGATCGCGGATAAAGAACAGGTTTTGCGGAAGATTCCACGCATGCTGCAACTTCTTCAACGTTCTATGAGGAATCTTAAGAGCAGGAGTTTATCTATTGAAACCACACTGGACCTTAATGGTAAAGCACACGAGAAAAATAAAGATCAACCAACAAAGCATTGTAACAGCATCAACTTTCTCTAGCCATGAGCTGTTTGGATGTTATGTATCAAGTGTATGGTCCTCCTCAGCCTTACTTTACAGCAGCTTATAGTCCTTACCACCAGGTACGTTGGGTCAAGGAAGAATGCCTCTGTGGACCTCATTGCTCAGGGGCGCTAATGGAAAATCGTTAGGGCTAGGGGTGATTATTGAAACTATGTATTGGGTCTGCACTATAACCACTGCTCCCATGCAGGGTGAGTGTTTAATATGTTTAATAAATCACTTCACTGTGTTTGTCCTGATTAAATAGTTTTATTGTTTACAAATAAATTAGTATTTGCAAGAGGAAGAAAGAAAACAAATGTATATTATTTAATCATTTATATATATTTTTATTAGATTTAATTAGACCAGTAATTCAGCGTAATATTATTAAAGCAAGGGAACGGGTCTGGACTTTTTAAATAGTATTTCCTATACCATGGGCTGGATTTTATTGGTGAATCTCATGGTTTTAGTTAATGTGTGCAATTTCTGAGCCCTGTGACTTCTAATGTTGCTGTTCCCAGTTCATTGATAAGGTGCAAAGAATAATGTTTACACAGCAATTAACAGTAGTGGCTGGGATGTCTGGGAGATGGTTTTGATTGCAGTGCAATAAACATTTAATAAACCGGGTTAGTTTTATGAATAGATCAATCGATTTCGCATTACATACATTTATTTTATAAGATTTGTGTCTTTGTAAAAATCACCCTTCCAGTTTAAACCCTGCTAACTACTTTGAATTTTCTGTATTGGAGAAAATATGCAGGTAATTTAGGATTGCTGTTGGTTTCAATGTGATTCGCACTGTGGCTGTTTTGGAAACATAAATGGTAGGAATATTTCTGTTAGATGTGTGCAGGGCTGGACAGCATTTTCCCATAGTCTGCACCTGTTATAGTCTGTTTTACGTGTTTCCAGATTCGCTAACATTTCACACACAAATAGAAGCAGTCCCATAGCTTTCCCGTTCACAGAATCTGCTCCTGATCTGCTCCTTGCTAAGATTTCTGTGCAAAGGTAATTCATTTATTAACTTGTAGTTAACATACCATGCTGTGCTGAAGGTGCCAGAGGGCAGTGATGGGCACAGATACCAAAGCTTTGTACATTGTGAGTTTTGATTTCGTTTTGTACATTTATTTAGAAGTTAATTTTGAGTTTATTTTAGCAATTAAACAAGTTATTGCTACTGTAAAATAAGATTTGTGTTAATTTATGATATTTACTTTTCATATATGTCAAAACATTTTTGATTTGTGTAAACTAAAACATAAAAGTTATAGGAATCAGGATAAAGTCAAGCGATTAGACAGACAGAAGGATATAGATAAATAGACAGACAGATAGATTTCCAAATAAACAAACTAATCTTTATTTAGTCTATATCTGTCTGTCTAGAGTATATTTAGTGCACTAGAATGACACTCCATTGACCAATTTCTCTATGTATATATAATTTGAACATTTTTTTTTGTTCTTCCAAAACAAATTAAAGTAAAGGTTGGATTTGGAATCTTTGTTACTTATGTTGCTATGGCAATAACTAATCACAGATCCGGTCTAACTGTCATTGTCTGAGTGTCTGGTTTAGAATCAGAAAGTTTTCCCACAAGTTTTTGTGAATGGGATTTTGATTCCCATGCAGGCTGTCCATGTGGCCCTCACCGGAGCCGCTTGCACGGTAGCCGTAAGGTGATGCAGGGTGATGTGTGGCTATTTCCTGTTGCTGTGAAGGGCCAGCCCGGGTTCCCGGCCTGGAATGGCGGCATTGTGTAAAGTACTGAGTGCCCCGGGGGCCCCGTGCAGTAACTATCTGACTGTCCCTCTCGCTTTGTGTTGTCTAGAAATTAGCCTTTTACTCGAAGATGCAGGAAGCTCCCGAGAGTGTGAGCAGCAGCCTGAGCAGTGTGAGCAGCAGCAGCTCCTTCTCCAGCAACGCTCCCCCCAGCATTAAGGAAGAAGACTGCAGCCCGGACAAGGAGAGACCCCCCGAGGCAGAGTACATCAGCTCCAGGTGTGTCCTCTTCACCTACTTCCAGGGGGACATCAGCTCGGTGGTGGACGAGCACTTCAGCAGGGCTCTCAGCCAGCCCAGCAGCTACTCCCCCTCCAGCACCAAGACTTCCCGGAGCTCCAGCTCGTGGCGGGGTGAGTGAATGAGGCTGGGGGCCAGCGAGGGCCATGGGGACACTGTGACAGCGGGACAAAGTTAGAAAGGGGAGCAACAACCTCGGAAATCGAGAGAACAGCAGTCCACTGGTTTCCATGGTGATTGCGCTCATTTTCGAACGTTGTCGCACAGTTATATCATTTTGGGGGATGTCTGTATAGAGCTGCCTGTTGAGTAGCAATTAAACAATATCAGTCTCCAGAATTAATATTTTAGCTGCTCATTGACCCAGTTCTGGAACTGCCCCTACAACTACGTGCTCTCAAAATCTAAAGCGAATTAATGAAATCATTCACCATTATATTTGTTACATGAGCTATTGGAAAAGTATATTGAAATATTTAGTATTAGTCTAGTATTTTAATGCACAGCCCTAGGGAGCCGTACTTTGCTATGTAGTGTACAAGAGTCGGGATTGCAAAGTGAATTTAAGTGAATTACACATTTTTGACCAGAATATTTTTTCTTCAGCACTTTTGGCATTAAATTTGAAATTCGAATTGCCTACAGTTCTCACTTTTTGTGTCTGTCACATTCTAATCAGGGGACAAAAAACCGTATCAGATAGAGTTCAGTTGAGACCTTTATTTGGGACTAAGAGTTTATGCAGGAAATTATATTTTAGTACCACGAAAATCAATAAAAGAGAGAGTATATTTGGAAAATTTGGAAATATCTTTATATCTTTATATATTTATTTATAACTACTACTATTTGTTTTATTTTGTTCATTGTTTTTCTTCACCTTTACTTGTCTCCATAATTTCTTTGCCCATGCTGACATTTTAATTGCTCTGCAAATTAAACCCTGCTCATGTTCAGATCACTTGCTTTATATTACTTCTAGCAGAGTCCAGACAGGGTTCCCTGTTTAGAAAAGGGCTTATATAAACCATTAACATCACTAAGTCATGCTTCCTAATGTCACACCACAGTAATCTTATATATTTTATATACATTTTTGTTATTACATCATACTTAAATATAAACTAAATATGTTTACATATTTGGCCAGTTACAATTAAACTATTCTCCTATTGTTCTGTAACAGAGCAGATCATTACTAGCTAATTGATAAAAATAGCTAAAGGGAGACCATGACTGCCTTTAAAATGAACTTTGAATCCACTTTGAAGTCCAACTTGCAAATAGAAAGAGCCAACTTTAAAAAAAGCATATATAATTTTGAATTTATTAATTTTTTTGCATTTATTTTTATTTTTGTCAACATTCTGAAAGTTGGTTGCCAACTCGATGCTCAGTGAATAAACCATCAGAGCATAGATACTATCCAGTTCCATATTACCTTAAATGGCACACTGATATATATATGTTACATTCTACTGCCTATATAAAAAAATATTTAAATTTCATTGTGTAATCCCGAAAAATGAACATTATTTGCTCATTGTGGTAAATAATAAAATATGTTCTATCTGCATGGGACCACCAGTAAAAATGAAACAATGCAAACGGATCTTGATAGGTAAGAGCACATTTTTTGTTAAAACAGAAAATAGTTTGTTGCAGCAGCAAAAGTGGAGATAATGTAACTTGTGAAATCAGTCACTTTGGGAGTTATTCACTAAACAGTGACTTGCAGTGAATGAATAACTCAATTGTAAAATGTAGGCAAAATGAGCATATTTAGAACATTTCTCAAATTCAGAGTTAGTTCTATTAATTAAGATAAGGTTATCTCTTTAATTTGAATAGCATTTTCTCGTATAAATTAATGGGCAAACTTCTATTCAATTACAAGACATACGCTTATCAATCTAATCCTAAATTAGTCTTATTCACAGCTTGGATATTTTACATTGATATTTAAAATTTCACTGAAGAGGGAAGCAATACATTACTTATTTCTTTCAGGTACTTAAACATTTGTGTGTTTTACGGCCACTTCAGTACAATTCTAAACACACCTTAAACTACAGGATTCAGTGATGGGATGGATTCATAGTCTGTTAAAATGTATATTGTCCATTTTATCCATTGAGTAGAATTTTTTTTTTCATATGAGTAAATTTCAAAAATATCTCTACAAACCTAAAAAGGATGTTTTCATCATTGTATATGTAAAAGCGAAAACCAATGTGATCAACCTTTATCAGATTTGGGGTATCCTTGAAATGTACCCCATGGCTTGTTTAAAAGTAGTTGGGAAGTGGATTGAGAATAACTCTTTGTTGCTTATAAGATCATGTATAATATTACATATATTTAGGGTTTAATTCACCAAAAGACAAGTTTTGTTGAGTTTGAAGTTGTCACACGTACAAATAATTGTATTGAGGAAAAAACCCTCAATGCCAACTACTTATTTGTAAGACAAGGTGATTACAGTCACCTATCAAAAATAATTAGCAAATGTGGTAATAAATCGATGTTTGGATATTTACTACTGGTAATTCAGAAGTATGTGTAAAGATTATTCCCCTATATGAAAATGATATATATTTGAATATTTATTGTATAGCGAATCGCATCTAAATAATTAACCCAAATGTTTTCATTCGGAAGCAATATCTGAAATGTTCAGTTTAGCTGTACACAATAAAAATAATTTGACTGGTAATGTTTCATATCTACAATATAATAGAGGTGAAAAGGAAAATGACCCCTGCACTCCCTATTATCAGGTCAGGTAGCAGAATAGCTCCAATATTTCCTCAGATAGTGGGCAGATACTAGAGGAGTACAGATTACGAACTATTGCACATAAAGCTGGCCACCTGCTCCTTTCTCCATTGCATGATGTGCAATGGGGATTGTTATTGCAAAAGTTGGAGAACCAACATATACACATATTGGCCCCAGTCTTGGGCAAATATGGATCAACTCATTGTGGCTTCAATCAGTTCAAAGTTTGGTTTATTTTATTCACAGGATTTCCAATTTTGTGACATCCATGTAGTTTCATTCTTTTTAATTCCAGCCAAGTTTTGTTTGCAGGTTTGGCCTTTAGCAAATATTTCTTATTGCAATTCACTCCAACTGAGTTGTTTGGTTGTGGTTGGCTATTCATTTAGCACCATAATCAATCAAATACGGGGCAATTATCTGATTGGGAAAATGAGGTTGCATTTCACTGTTTCAATAATTGAATCATCCAATCATATTTCTCCATTTTTCCACGGTAACCTAGAAATGCATTTGATTGGTACAGTCAAGAAACATATTTAGCGCTCTCCTTTTTTGTGTACATATGCCTATTTCAGTGGACAGAACATGAGGATAGCCAAGTGTTTAATACTTTAGGTTCCATTAATATTAAAACCTTTAATTTCATAGTGAAAGGAAGTCACCTTCACATACCTACACATATTAACATTAAGAGAAAGAAGTAAATATTAGTATGTTATGTATGGACACATATGCCAATGGTACTAAGGAATGGGCATTTGTGGCTCATTACTTGGGGTATAGTTAGTTTTATTAGCACTTTTCATGCTGATTAGCTACTTTGGGATGGCTTAATTTTTTTAGTCAAATTTGAATAAGTATTATAAAACCTTACAATACTCAATAGTGAAGTTACATAAGACAATATTTTCTGATCTAAACTGATATTTGAGGGTGGTGGTGCTGCAAACATAATACATTACAAAAATGACCCAAATAACCTTCTTGTTCATTACCATACAAAGTAATATATATTATAATAATAATTATTATTATTATTATAGGTATATATATAGCACCAACTAATTCCGCAGCGCTTTACAATATTATGAAAGTGGGACAATAGGTAGATGACACAGGAACAATAGGTAGATGAGGACCCTGCTCAAACGAGCTTAAAGTCTAGATGAGGTGGGGTACAAATGCACAACAGGGCAACAAGGGTGACAGCCACCAAACAAGGTGGAAAAGTAGCAGAGCTGGAGGTGAGAGTGGAGAATGGCTCTTTAGGAGAGCAAGAGACAGACTTGGGTAAGTATACATAAGTAACTCTGGGAGTCCATAAGAATTTCTGAACAGATGTGTTTTGAGGAACCTTTTAAACAATTGAAGACTAGGGGAGAGTCTGATGGGGTTAGGCAGGCTGTTCCAAAAGAAGGGAGCCACCCGCAAGAAGTCCTGCAAGCGCGAGTTAGCAGTAAGGGTGCGAGCAGCGGACAGGAGAAGGTCACCGGCAGAGCGGAGAGACTGAGAAGGGGCATATCTATGAATGAGGGAAGAAATGTAAGAGGGGCTAGAGTTGGTTAGAGTTTATAGGTAAGGGTTAGTAGTTTGAATTGACACCTATATGAAACAGGAAGCCAGTGTAAGAATATAAACTTTGGTCTAACTGACATAATCTTGATTGGAGCTCATAAAATCAGTATAGTCTTCCAATAAATAAAATTTTAAATCAATAGCTTGTTAACAAGAAAAGTTTATCAGGGCCAATTCAAGAGGGCTTAAGTCAACACATTGTACCCAGTATCGCTTCCTAGTCACTAGCAGAGTAATAGTATGTATCATTGCCATGAGGATCCATGGCACTAGCCAATAGCACCAACTTCTTGTCCCATACCTCATTACGGCTGGTAATGGGTAGAGGAGGCTCGGTTCTTGCTGAAACTGAGCAAGTCTGGAAATTGTTTTAGCGTTAAACTCTAAAAAAGTGTAATAGGTTCACAAATATCGATTGACAAACGTATATTAGACAAATTAAAACAGTAAATTAATAGTTTGATTTAATAGTTTTTAACATTCAACATTCTGATTATGTTACTGCCAAGTGGGAACTGTCATCAGCTTTTCAAAGTCTGTGGTTCTAACCGATAATGTCTGTATAACTACTGAACATACTGTACATCGACTCTACTGTAATTTAACCTGCTAAGCCCACTCGTTAGCACTTGCAAATAAAATACATAAATGTAAAACTATGCAAAATTGACTAGCAAATTTCTTCAACATACTATAGATAAGTGTTGGTACAAAACTACTTATAATACTTGTTCAATGTTTTTTAATACGATCTGAATTCCAGCAGCATACATTCTTGACAGCTTGCAGCGATTGGAGGCAGAATTCACATAAAATTTCAAAAATATATCATAGTTTGAATTGAGCTCAAATTGCCAAATAGTTTGAGATTTGTTCAGTATTGAGACCCCTCCATAATGATCTAAATTGACCCTACATGGCCTGGTAGTAGTCAGTCAGATCAGAAATTGCTCAGAAGTGAAGATCTGAAATATATGCAAAGTAGTCCTGACTGAAGTAATAAAAAATGGTCTACTGACTATAGAAACAAACATTCATAGTATATTCATAGTATGTAAACAAAGGTACTCTTTAAAGGGTTACTCCAGGCACCACCACTACTTCAGTGATTTGAAGTGATCATTGTGTCTGGAGTTTGTACGTGCAGCATTTCACTGTGAAACGCAGCACATAATGAGTTTAACCCATTTGCTGTCAGATGTGTAACTCCACTTCTGGAAGCATCATGGGGTGCCATCAGCTAGCCCAAAACGCAAATTCCTTGCTGGCTAAGATCAATTCTGGGCAAATTTAGTCAATGAATGAGCGGCAGGATTGACATCCGACTTCTGTAGCTCTGCAAAAGCTGGATGTTGTAAAACCTGTTTCAGAAGAGACCAGGCGCACAGCAGAACCAGGTAAGGGGGCAAACCGTTGTAGTGGTTATGATGGTCGGAGTAACCATTTTAATTACCAAAAGATTAAAAAGAGAAGAAAGTAACCTACAAGCCCCTCCTGCCATATATATATATATATATATATATATATATATATATATATATATATATAGTGCACTACCAGGGCTTCAGTATCCAAATTGCAAAAGTAGATGGCTGCACTCTCGGTCTTAAATAAAAATGTACTTTTATTCCATATTCTTAAAAACAGGATCAACGTTTCAGTCCTCCTCGAGGACTTTTATCAGGATCATAAAAGTATATATATATATATATATATATATATATATATATTTAAAATACAAGTAGCTCCTGCACTCACGCTCAAATATCCCTTAATGGCCGGGTGCCAACCAAAATCAGCTTCAATATCCAAAAAAATCCAAGGGTATGGTTACACTCACGGTTTAAAAGTCCAAAGTTTAATGAAAAAACGATTTAAAACATCAAGTGATCACTTGATGTTTTAAATCAGTTTTTTCATTAAACTTTGGACTTTTAAACCGTGAGTGCAACCATACCCTTGGATTTTTTATATATATATTTATATACACACGAGAACATGGAATTTTTATATATACACACATGAGAACATGAAGTTTTGTGTATATATATATATATATATATATATACACACACATGAGGCGGGGGGGTTGTCTTCTATAATCCTTCTATATATAGAATTATGGGCATAGCAGAATATTACTAATACCATGAAGATTAAGACCCAGCTAAAGAAGAATTAGTACATTCAGTGATTATATCCTTTAAATTAGCTTTATTAATTGACAAAAAGCTTTTTTATTTAAAGATTAGTAAATAAGCCCAGTTGTGTTCCAGACACTTCGTGATGCACAGTTTAAAGATTAGTAAATAAGCCCAGTTGTGTTCCAGACACTTCGTGATGTGTATGAGGCTTAGTTTTTACGTTTACATTCGTCAGAATTGCAAATAATTTCAATTACTGTTACAGTTACTCTTTTTTTGCACACCAGTGATAACAAATGAAAAGACTGTCTATTTGTGGTCCTTTTCTTCTGATTCCAACAGCACATGTTAACATTGCCCTTCAACATCTTTGTTTTGTTGGCCATGCTATTGAAAAGAACACTGCTTCCCAGCTTTTTACAATAACCAGTTTTTAAATAGACTAGGTCACAGGGATAAAGTATGTTTTTCTATCATTCTAGTTTGTAATGACTCTAAGCACATAACTGTTATTACACAAAATTATTGATATAAATGTAAACTTATTAATGGCACAGTAGACGAGTCCTATGTGTCAATGGGCTTTTATCTGCCTTTACAATAAAAGTTTGTTTGTGCTCTTAACCCCTTAAGGACACAACTTTTGGAATAAAAGGGAATCATGACGGAATATTTCCGTCACGTGTCCTTAAGTGGTTAATAGTCTGGCTTAATAACATCAAAACGTACATAGGAGGATATTGTAGATTTTATACATATAGTAAACGTGTAGTCAGGGTATGGACTCCTTATATAGTGATTTGGCTCGATTCGCTGAACATGGCGTTTTGGTGAGCTGTCACTTTAAAGATTGAGGTTTTATCGAGCTCTTTTATTTTGACCTATTTTTCGGCCATAGTTTATCTCACTACAATTAACAATTTAGCATCTGGATTTGTAAAGTTATCATTAATCGTTTGCACTACTTTTAAAAGGTGCCTTTTAAATTTTTTTTCCCATTTACAAACAAATGTAAATTGATAGTGACAGTATCATAAAAACTAATGACATACCCACCCCTGCCTTGACATTCACATGTACTCTCATATACCGTTACTTGATTAAGGAACATAATTAGCAACTGGCATTTGCTCCTGTTAATTTTGGGTTCCTATTATTCATTGTACTGTTCTGTGCAGGAAAGAAATGACTTCACAAAGTTCCCATATTCTACAAAAGTAAGATAGGAACTCTTAATGTCAATTTACATTTTGTTTTGAAATTAATCACACATTGATATTATCTACTTTTTTAACTGATGATCAGTGTGTTTATTTTAAATTATTTTATCTGTCTTATCATTTGCTTTCGTATAAGCATTAGAGAAGCCAGTGCAATATTTTAGATTTGCCAGTTTCATAGATGTCTGTAAAATAGTTTGGATTTGCTTAATTCAGCTGCTAACATCAAACTGATAATTGTTTAACAAATTTGGCAGACAATAAAGTATGTCAATACAAATGTCAACAAAAAAAAATAATCCTACGGAGAACAGTTTGCAGTAAACACTGCAACACATTTTATTCATTTTACACAAGTCAGTGAATTCTACAGAGAATTGATTGTTGATTTTGACTCAATTCCTCAGAGATGTGAAATTTGGATTCTCGTCAAATTGACGAACAGCTGCCAAGTTCAATCCGGCATATCCTGCTGGAGTGATAGGTCTAGTTTGGCAGCTGAGCTTCTCAGCCAAAAAATGTAGATTTTGTGTAAAGTCAAATATATTCCAGATGTAAGAATGTGCAGAACGTCCTTTGTTCCTAAAGATGTGTATGTATCATTATATTATGACAAAGTCCATTAATGTAGTATATTCAAATGTAGTTCAACATTCAACATAGCAAGTTCTGTAACCACCATCACTCCTATAGGTGCTTGAATTGAAGAGTTATACACTAGAGTACAAATTAATAGGATTCAAAATGAAATCAAAGAGAGCTTAAAATTTGAGGCCACAATGTATTTTTACCAATGGATCTGACTTGTAGAGTGTTTCTAGGGATTAGAAATACACTGTAATTCATGACAATTCTACTTAACAAACCTCTACCTAATTATTACTCATTTGCAGATCAGTTTACGGCCATCATTATCAAGTCTCCCCTCCAGTGACTCTCTGTAAAACACAGTGAGAATGTTGAGTGTGTGTTGAAAAGAACTTGGCTTAATTTTAGCTTTGTTCACTATTGTTCACGACCGACATGGGTTGGTTAGTCACTAAAGTGAGAATTCAAGGTGAATTCCAAGTGAATTTCAAAAGTCAAAGGTCAAAATAGTAGGATTCAGCTACTCTGGCCTCAATGTTGAAATTCACTTTGAATTCCCTCAGAATTTTTACTTTAGTAAATAAGCCTGTCACTCTATTTCTGCCCATACCCAACTGACATTGCAAGTCCACACTTGAAATTAGAAGATAATTCCAACAGCACATGTATATATATATATAAAATTTTAGTAGTCACATATTTAAAGAAATGTATATCTTTAAATATGCGGCTATTAATGGTTACCATTGGTTTGCAGTCATGATTCATTGTATCATTATACCAGAGCAGGAGAGCTGTGACTCAGGTAGTAAAGAACCCATGGAGGGTTCCATGAACTCTTACTGAGGGAGAACCTAGTATTTACTAATGGTGACAACATGCGATTCTAACACACCAAAGGGAACATGAGATAACTAAGAGCAATCTATGTCATCGTACATACCTCTTAACATTTAAAATGAACAAAGAGGGACACTTTAATTCTACTGGTGTAAGTGGGGGTGTGGCCAGGATCAGGGTGGTTTTGATACATTTTAGGTCACTTACTAAAAACAATTTATATAACTCAAATGTAGTTTAGAAGAACGACTATTTAAACAAACTGATTTCTAAACACATCTATTGTAGTTTAAAAAGTTATTCCAACCACCATGACCACTCCTGCCTTAAAATGTGGTCATAGTGGTAATGGTCGGTATGTGCAGAATTTCACTACATATCCAGAGATATGTTCACTAGGGTGCCGGGTACTAGTTACACACCTGGCACTCATGACTGTCAATTTTGTGCAAAAATTATGTCTGTCATCAGCACTCACAGCCCCTAGCACAGCACTACATTTACTGGGTCCCTCTTGTTTGTCACCGAGCAGCCACAAGTATAATACATTGCCTGGTGCTGTGTGGCAGACACTTGCAACCAAGCAATAACCAAAGCTGGTTGCAGGTAGAGGATGCCGGGGCTGGTATCCGAGCTGCACCCTGCCTGTTACCCAGAAGTCTTCCACAATGAGTCGTAAGGAGCCTGTTCATCACAGGTCAAGGCTCTCCTGTCCCCCCTAGATACTAGGGATATGAAAGCAAGCCTGATCCCCTTCTCCTCATAGTAAGACAGGTATTCTCCAGTTGGATATTTATTCTGTATGTAAATAGTTTTTTTGTGTGTGTTTTTGTACATAAATTAAGACTATATGTAAGCATTTATGTCACGATGGTGTGACAGTGTGTATCAATGAGAGTCTGTGTTAGTGTTTGTGTAAGTAACATTGTGCATGTGTCTGTGAGTGTCAGAAATTGAATGTGTGTGTAAGTAACACGTGTGTATGCCAATCAGAGAGTGATGTGCTCTTTATCTTAAATCCCACTCCCTCCCATGCAACTTCCTCATTAATGGTAAGCCACCACCATGAGTCCAACACTCTGGCTTCATTGTCAACATGCTGGTGTCTAAACCTATACTTCCTAACCAGTTCTAGAATCATTGGCTAGGAAGAATTCATAAAAAACAAGGATCATGCGCTGTGTATGCTGTGCTTGAAGAGCAGGAAATCTCTCCTGCTCCCCCTGTAACTCAGTTCTTCAGCACAGGAGTCTATGCCAAAGAGTTGATTGACATGTGAAAGACCTCCTAAAATTGCTTTTTCTTTCAATATATGCGTTTTTCTAACACAGATGTGCTCTGAGCAGGTTATACAATCCATTCAAAGGTTTCTCTATAAGAAGCCTTTGGAACTTGTGAAAGCTGGCATGATGTCGGACGAGGAGTGGAGAGCAGCACCGGAACTTTGCACAGCGCTGGATTTTAGGTAAGTTTTAGCTAAGTTTCTAAAGTAATGCCCAATAGGGCATTATGAATTTAAAAAAACAAATGGTTGGAGTAACCGTTTAAAGACACATTACTGTGAGTAGTGTTGACATGGAGCTGTGTTACACACCAGTAATATGGAGCTCCTAAAAATGGGCATAGAAAAAAGGGACAAATTGATTTGGGCCCTGAATAGGAACTGTCCCTCCTAAACTAGAGAAAGCATGCATAATCTCTCTCCTGCCAGTGTTTTCAACAAATTTAAGATGATTACTGTTGTGCCTTAAAATTGTGTAGAACAATTACTGGCAATGTTGTCATGTTAAGAAAAAAAACATCTCTTTATTATAACGTTTGTTGTGGATTTAATCACACTAAGATGTGTGTACAGTGCATAAGTCATGGTTATAATGTAACATTTGAGTTAAATTTTGCACTGGAACTGCAAAATTGCAATTGTCATCTATGTTTCTATGTTTCCATTTTGCTGTAATAGAGAATGTTAGTGTTAAGGTGCAGCAGGCCTTAGGTCTGTTGGACCTTTCATGTATATTACATGATTGTGAGTCATTGATTAGTAATAACTTTCACCTTCGTACTGTTTTCCTTTGACAGACTCCTCTTATCCCATGAGTCAGAGAAGTTTCCCTCCTTCCTTCTGGAACAGCAGCTATCAGCCTTCTTCAGTCACAGCATCCTCATCTCTGGGCAGCAGTCTGGCTAGTCCGCTCAGTGGTTCGCACACAGAAATACCATTTGGAGCAGATCCTTATTCCCCAGCAACTCTTCACAGCCACTTACATCAGGGTCCTCCAGAGCCCTGGCACCACGCACACCATCATCATCACCACCACCATCCCTACTCCATAGGGGGAGCTATAAACAGCCAAGGGTCCAGTTACCAAAGGGCTAGCATGCATGAAGTTTATAGCACGCATTTTGATCCCAGATATAGCTCACTTATAGTCCCAGCCTCGGTCCGACCTCACCGGATCTCTCCTGCAGGGACAGCTCCAGCAGCACAGTGTGATCTTGGGAAAGGAGAACAGGGCACATCTGCATGGACGACCCCGGGACCCTTCACTGGGCCAACTGGGGACATGGGACAGAGCCTTGGGCTCAATGTTGATGCAGGTAAGCAAAAGCGCCAGTGAGCATGTATGTAGCATATTAGTGGATAATATTCTACTCAGCCAATAATTACAACAAATTAAATCTGAATGGCAAATTTCATCTTGCTTACAAATTAACAATTGATTTGGAGTTTATAAACTTGTCTCTCTATCTGTTTATCTATCTATCTATCTGTCTGAATATCTAATCTATTTTTCTATCTAATCTATTTTTTCATCTTATATATATATATATATATATATTCTATCGATCTATCTATTGATCTGTCTGCCTGTCTGCCTATCTAATCTATCTTTCTATCTAGTCTATCCATCTATCTAATCTATCTTTCTATATCATATAATACCATGATCCACCCATTATTTGAACATGCAGATAATGGTTAGAACCAAATACTACACAGATCATGAAAGCACCCCTTCAATGATTATCTATAATGAACAGGTACAAGTACTAATGTATAGATGACCTCTATGCAGTCTGGGGTCCATAATCTTTGGCAGAACCAAAACATGAATGTCACAGTCTACTTGATATTAGTAAGAGTTACATTACTGAGTTGCAGAAATAGTGGCCTCCTGGGTTTGTAACTACTAATCTCAGCAGCACTGGGACATATATTATTATATTGTATAGCCATCCCAGAGTACACTAAAATAACTCCACACTATACTGCACTATTAACGCCTACACTACACCATCAATAAACATTAAAACATACATTAGTCTACACTATCACTACATATTAACACCTATGCTGCTTTAAACACTAACCCCTACACTACCCTAACACTAAAGATTACCACCCCATACCATATATACATATATATACTGAACTGATGACTGAACTGAAAAGCAGAAGACAATATTGTGGTTTATTGGTCTTTCCTTTATTTATTACTGAATATGTAGTTAACGTAGTTTTTATGAATATTCCTCTATTCAACATTCATCTGTCATTTAATTTTCTTCATGTTCACAACTCCTTTCCTATTTCTGCATCTGCTATCTGCATACAAAAGTTTTATATCTTGATGGACAAAAACCTCAGAGAAAACAAATGTAAACATATATAACAGTGCGAGAACATTACTTGTACATTGGGGTATGAATTACAGTTTTTGAAAATGCAAAGAGTTTAGTAATGGCCTAAGTACCAGCAATTTGATGAAATTGGTGGGTTTTTTTTACCTTGCCAAAACACACAGCAATTTCTATTGATTTAAATTCCAAATGAGATGTGTAGACACTGATATTTAAGTGAATTCCATATTGGAGAAAAAGCCTTATTAAAGGACCACTATAGTGCCAGGAAAACAAAGTTGTTTTCCTGGCACTATATAGTCCTTAGGTCCCCCCCACCCTCGTGGCCCCCTTCAGCCACTTACTTTAATCCTCTCCTCCCCCTCCGACATCAGCTCCCGGATGCAGCCGAATGCGCGGCCAGATCCATTAGCGCATTCAAACCGCCCATAGGAAAACATTACTCAATGATTTTCTATGGACGTTCTGCGTGCTCGATGCGATTTTCTCATTGAGCGTCATGGAAGCACCTCTAGCGGCTATCAGGAAGACAGCCACTAGAGGCTGGATTAACCCTGCAATGTAAACATAGCAATTTCTCTGAAACTGCTATGTTTACAGCTGCAGAGTTAAAACCTGGGGGACCTGGCACCCAGACCACTTTATTGAGCTGAAGTGGTCTGGGTGACTATAGTGGTCCTTTAAAGGTAGTAAAGAATATTTTTAAATAAATATGTCATAATGTGAATATTGAATATTGGATGTCAGAATTGTGTATGTAAGTTGGAGTGTATGAACTAATAATCTGAAATATAAAAGTCACAAAATGAAAATAATAGTTACATACACAGAGGGCATTGAAACACATTTACACACAGAGGACATTGACACACACAGTTACACACAGTGGACATGGACACACAGCTACACAGAGAGGACACCGATACACACACATTTACTCACATATGACACTGACAAACACTTACACACAGTGGACACTGACACCCACACACATTTACACACAGAGAAAACTGACATACACACATTTACACACAGAGGACTCTGATGCACATGCACAATTAATGACAGACACTGACTTTACACACAGACACACTTACTGACAGACACGCACTCACTGATAGACACTCATTGATTTGACACACACTGACAGACACACTGGCACACACATTCACTGACAGACACACACATTTACACATGCACACATTTTCTCACACACTTACAAATTATTTAATTTTTTTTCATTATTTTTATTTAAGTCCATCCAGCCTCCCTACCTTCGGAAGAGCTGAAGTGGATTCTTTCCATGGGATCCAATGTGGGACTTGTGTTATTTAATTAGGGGTGCCCTAAGGTGTCTCTCTGTGTTCCCCCTGCTTGTGGTGCGTACCTCCTGAGGTATGGGTACCACATGTTGACAACACCAGACATACCGTGTGAATATATTTTGTTCTAAAAAGTAAAAGCGAATACATTTATTTAAAGGTCTTTTAGATGAGACAAGACATATAGTAAATGACTTACAGTCACACTGCACAATAATACATAAAAACTAATAGCTCATTTCCAGTCTTGTTGCTACTTTTTACCCACCAGCTGCTGCTTGTTAAAATGCTTGTCACTACTGTTAGTGAGTAGCAACAGCCGTTTACTGAATGCAAAATTTAATCAGTAGTTTATGGAAATTACTGGCTCCCACTACTTGAAGCCAGTCACTAAGTAGCATTCTGTGGGAGCAGCAAACCACTACTTAGTGACTGGTTTACGACTGGTTCCCAACCCTGTCACTACTGTTTAAAGGCTGTCACTGATCCGCAAAACTTTACACCAGCCTCTTGACAGGTGTAATGAAGTTAACAGCTAAATCTTTATACATCCTACAGGAAAAATCCATGTTAGCTAAATGGCATATTAAACTATATCAAAAAGCAAAATAATAAAGGTCCAGACACATGACATAAAACACAATTATTCTTTATATAATTAATTGTATGTATATTTATAATAAACAATTCCCGAATCAAAAATGAACTTTAAAAGTTACACATATGTGTAGTTTGCATATCACAAAATTTATGTTTAATACTTGCATAAACTGTCACTATCTCCTGCTCCTGCATTACGTACACATGCTCAGGGTGAGACTTTTTTTTACCAGCAAGTCATTGTCCATGCTTGAAATCTAAATTATTAGCTTTATCAAATTTCAATTTATTGAAATCCCACTTTTGAGAAGTACAATTTAAAACCCAGGCACTGAACATATAATGAGCCCAATGTGTGTTGACACTTTTCTGCTTGTAAGTCCAAATGTATGTGTATGCAAAAATGTTTAATTAGAAATATATATTTGTAAGTGTACATTTGTGTATCTCTGTCTGTATGTGGATGAATGTTTGAAAGGGGAGTGTTTACATATGCAAATGTATGCATCCATTTATGTTTTAGTATTCAGTTTGTGAATGGGTGGACAGATGGAAACAAAAGGTGCCCAAAAGGTAGATTCTTTGATGTTGTAGAACTACAAGTCCTGTGATGCTTTGCATGCATTTGGAATGCCTTCAGAATGGCAAAGCATCATGGAAGCTGTAGTTCTAAAACATATGGGGATCTACTTTTTGGGCACCCCTGATGTATAGTATCTGGATGTGTTGAGTGCTACTAAGGGTTTGGAACAGGAAAGTAGAGAACATTAAATTAATCTTCTCAGAGGTCTACAACAACTGGAACGTTAGAGGTCTCTTATCTTCATTGAACCCACCATTTTTGCTCACATATTTATTTTACATTGACACTTTAGATCTATTTGTGCACTTAGGGTCAACTTACTTTTCATCCTATCCTAAAACATCTTGTGGCTTTATCTCTTTTTTCCCCTTTTTATTTCCCTCTCTTCCTCTTTTTATGTTATCCTTATACATTCTGTCTATCCTTCTCTCATTCCCCCATTCCCAGGTGTACAGCCTCAGGATAAAAGGAAGGACCTGTACTGGTTTTAAAACCTCTAGCCCCTCTAGATTATCTCCACCTTGTAAAATTGGTGACATTCTGAGCTGACATGGCGTTGCTTTGGTTTGGTGGTAACAGCTTGTGATCTTGGTTTGCAGCTCGACGTTACTCCTTCTGTGGTGGGACCCTCCTGAGCTGATGTTGTCAAAGACTTTGAGCCAAACCATGTATCCCATTCCCGGAAGAGCCAAGGGTTAGGACACATGCCTACAGCACTCAGCACTAGGACTGCAATTCCGAGGATTATGGGAACAGGACTCCAAAAATACATGCCCTTAAGAAAACAAACATAAGCCTCAACCATTTTTATTATTTTGTTTTGCGGAGACCTATCAAAGACTGATGTTATTTTTTATTTAAAATGTTGCTTTCACACATAAATAGAGGCCGCCAAAAGATATATATAGATATATATTAATATAAGTTCACTGTGCTTCTAATGACAAAAGGACAATATTTTTTTTGTGTTGTGAATATTTTGAATGTCCATTGTAATTTTTCTTTCCATACAAGCTACCTGATTGATGATCTAGTCCTACGTGTTTGTATAATTATTACTGTACACAGTCAAAACACACACAAGACACACACATACACATACACATACTAGGGAAACAACATTTGACAATCAGTGGACTGCAGGCCATATGTGGACATACAATCCATTCTATGTTGTGAGTGGCAAAGAGCTTTCTGACCACCTGCCTCCAAGCTTATAGAAATGCAGCTGTTGTATGGACAACTGTTCAAACTCCAGAAATATGACAAGCAAGGTGGCACTTCTCAGGGTTTAGCCCAACAATTGCATTGATTTTTTTTTTTCTTACAAGGAGAATTTTATGATGAAAGAAGAAACCCTTTTAGGAAATGGACAGCTTCTACAAGGAACAACTGCAGCAACTTGTAACGAGATATGCTTAGAGCTCAGTGTGGACAATTGATCTCCACAACTCTTATGCATGCCGCTGTCCTTCTGTCACTTTAATTTGTTTTGGGAAACAGGGAGAGATGTATTTAATTGTAGAAATGATACATTAAAGCATCTACATGCTCTTACTTTTGTTGCTAAGTCAACATGCATGCATTTCTTTCTCCGTATAGAATAGTAAAATAAATATCCTAGTATTCACTGTTTTTGAGTTATGTAACATGACCAATAGTTTCTCCTAAATATGTAATTTATATTGCATTTTACAGCAACAGCTGCTTGGCAAATTGAACCGAGAACTTTTGCTCTTTTAATACAGGCAACAGGAGTCCTTATTTTCCACACCTATTTTAAACCTCCTGACACTTTATTCAGTTGTTAAGATAGATACGTGTAATTTTATTAAATTGGAGTACCGCTATGGAGTGGATTTCCTTGGCAGACCTATTTCAATCAGCTTGTTAATGAACTGTGCAGATACCCTAACCCTTCACAATTTGTCCAAGTATCCCTATCAAAAGATATTTTAATGTAGGGTGTAGAGTTTCTGTTAGCATCAGAATCTGAAACCCTTTATCATTTATTATTACCAGTTCACCCAAAAGTGAACTGATTTAGTCAATATTTATATATTATATGATCATATCTCTACCTTCTAGCTTGCAAGTTAGAACATGGAGGTAACAACTACTAAGCAGACAGACCAACAGACCTTCGAATGTAAAATGTCAGAGGAAAAAGTAAAATAGAATGCAGTTCAAATCAGACATAAAAGTGCTTTAAATTCTTGGTTGTAGTTTAACAAAAACATGTTGGATACAGGAATTTCAGTTTGAAGAGAACACTACCAGTTACAAATTTGTATTTTTTTTTATTAAAAAAAAGTATATTTGTTTGCCTAAAAAAATAAATTAAACTAAAAAAATGTAAACTAAAGTTTTATTCAAATAAGAGTACATACAGAAATAGTCATCAATCAGGTGAAATAGTACCCTACATTTAATTTTTTTGTAAAATTCTAAACTTGTAAATAATTGCAAATTTTTTGTTTACATTTATTCACAAGAATATAAAATATTCTTTATTGTGTTAATTATAACAGTACTAGTTGCTATTATTATTTCATTATTTAATGTAGACTACACTATAGCAAGGCTAGCATGTACATCTACTTTTCAATCAGTGAGTTATTGAAGCATATTTCTATTTCTATATTGAACATATATTAGAATATGTAATAAATAATTAGATCCATCATTTGACTGTTGACATTTTTAACAGGTTCTAAACTTTGCAGTAATATTACTGCAGTAACATAAAATTATGAAGCAACACAGTTAAGCAATTATTAGTGTGAGATAAACAACAGGTTTTAGCAACTGAATTATATATATACAAATCTACGTGTCCCGCACTCACAGTTCCCGGTCTTGTTGTTGCCTTGGTGCAATCCCCGGCTTAAATACGTATGATATCTTGATGGAGAACACTCAAAGTACTCAAAATGTATTTTAAATAGTGCTTTTTATTTAAGCATCAAATCTTTGGATACAGAGTGTCGACGTTTCAGTCCCACTGGACTTTTATCAAGATGCTTATATAAAAAGCACTATTTGAAATATATTTTGAGTCCTTTGAGTGCTCTCCATCAAGATATCAATATGTGTGTGTGTATTTTAAAGAGGAACTGTCAGGACACTGGAAAATATTCTACTGAATAAAACATTCAAAATCACATAGAATTTTGGGTTAACCTTTTTTCATAGAATGTTCAATTATCTTTTAAATCTACAATAAAGACTTGGCAACGGACATCACAATCCAGTTTAGATCCAGGAGGCATTCTGCTATGTTCTGCATGGCTTCTCTATATTGACTGACAAGGGCTAGGATTAGAATAATGACTGACAGAGAACTAAGATGGAGGTGAAAAAGGGTTATGGATTTCTACATCTAGTGTAATTTGTCATATGTCACAAATACATATTTGTTGAATACAGGTATAAGTCAACATTATATAAAAAATCTTGAGAAGTGACAGTTTCTCTTTAAGAAAGAATATAATTTTTAAAAAAAAATGATAAAATGACAATCAAATACAGTCTTGTTTTAAATATGACAAATGTAATAATGAAACAATTGTCTGAGTAAAAGAAAAAAAGCAACAATTAACGGGCAGCCTATGTACCATAACCACTACAGTGGACTATAGCGGTTATTTTGCCAGTAGTCCTCTGGAGCAATCACATAGTAAGTACGTAAAGGGATACTATAGTGCCAGGACTACAAAGCTGTATTCCTGTCGCTATAGTTCGCTGTGCCTCCCCCTTCCTTGCACCTTCACTCCCCATGTGTCGGTGAATGAAGGGTGAAAACCCCTTTATTTACTTACCTGACTCCAGTGCCGATCTCCCCCCTCAGAGCTGGGTTGTGGTGAGGGGTCACTAATGCACATGCATGGACAAGCATTGAATCAATGCTTTCTTATGGGGAAGTTGCTTTTACTGGATGTCCTCATGCCGTAAGAGTCACTAGACAGCCACGGGCGGCTGTCTTGGTGCTGCAATGTAAGCATGTTTTACATTGCAGCACTAAGTGCAATAGGGACACTGTATCAGGCCACTTTAATGAAGTGGTCTGGGTGTCTATAGTGATCCTTTAAACTGTTTTCATGTATTCATTAGTAGGAATTAACATGGTTTTATGAAAGACAGGACATGCCATATTAGCTTGACATATCCACACAAAAAGTTACTATTTAAACTGAAATCAATTAGTTTATATGGAAAATCTTGCTCTTGGATAGAACACTGGCTTAAAGAGTACAGTGAGGGAAAAAAGTATTTGATCCCCTGCTGATTTTGAACATTAGCCCACTGACAAAGCAATGATCAGTCTGTAATTTTAATGGTAGGTATATTTTAACAGTGAGAAACAGAATAACAAAAAAATATATATATACAGAAAAATGCATGTCAAAAAAGTTATAAACTGATTTGCATGTCAATGAGTGAAATAAGTATTTGATCCTCTATGAATCAGCAAGATTTCTGGCTCCCAGGTGTCGTTTATACAGGTAACAAGCTGAGATTAGAAGCCCTCTCTTAAAGGGAGTGCTCCTAATCTCAGCTCGTTACCTGTACAAAAGACACCTGTCCATAGAAGCAATCAATCAGATTCTAAACTCTCCACCATGGCCAAGACCAAAGAGCTGTCCAAAGATGTCAGGGACAAGATTGTAGACCTACACATGACTGGAATGGGCTACAAGACCATCGTCAAGCAGCTTGGTGAGAAGGTGACAACAGTTGGTGTGATTATTTGCAAATGAAAAAAACAAAAAGTAACTGTCAGTCTCCCCCAGTCTGGTGCTCCATACAATATCTCACCTCGTGGAGTTTCAATGATCAAGACAACAATGAGGAATCAGCCCAGAAATACACGGGAGGATCCAAGCAAACAATTGGTAACACACTACGCTGTGAAGGACTGAAATCCTGCAGCGCCCGCAAGGTCCCGGTGCTCAAGAAAGCACACGTACAGTCCCGTCTGAAGTTTGCCAATAAAATCTGAATGATGGCCAGATTAGAGCAAAATCGAGCTCTTTGGCATCACCTAAACTCGCCGTGTTTGGAGGAGGAGGAATGCTGCCTATGACCCCAAGAACACCATCCCCACCGTCAATCATCTAGGTGGAAACAATATGCTTTGGGAGTGTTTTTCTGCTAAGGAGACAGGGCAACTGCACTGCATCAAAGGGATGAAGGATGGGGCCATGTACCATCATTATAAATCGCTGGTAAGACCACACCTTGAATATGCTGTGCAATTTTGGGCGCCTGTTCTAAAGAAGGATATCATGGCACTGGAGAGGGTCCAGAGACGAGCTACAAAATTGATAAAAGGAATGGAGCATTTTAGTTATGAAGAAAGGTTACAAAAATTAAATCTGTTTCGTTTGGAAAAACGGCGCCTGAGAGGGGATATGATAACTTTATACAAATATATTCGGGGCCAGTACAAACCTTTATCTGGAAATCTATTCATAAACAGGGTTATACATAGGACACGAGGTCACACATTTAGGCTGGAAGAAAGGAGATTTCATCTAAGGCAAAGAAAAGGTTTTTTTACAGTAAGAACAATAAGGATATGGAATTCTCTGCCTGAAGAGGTGGTTTTGTCAGAGTCCATACAGATGTTTAAACTGAAATTGGATAAATACTTACAAAAACATAACATACAGGGATATAATTTCTAATTAGTGGGGTAATAGCTGCTTGATCCAAGGAGACATCTGACTGCTATTTTGGGGTCAAGAAGGAATTTTTTCCTAGTTTGTGGCAAAATTGGAAGTGCTTCAGACCAGGTTTTTTGCCTTCTTTTGGATCAACAGCAACAACATTTCTGAGGAAGGCTGAACTTGATGGACGCAAGTCTCTTTTCAGCTATGTAACTATGTAACTATGTAACTATGTAAATCTTGGGTGAGAACCTCCTTCCCTCAGCCAGGGCATTGAAAATGGGTCAAATGACCCAAAACACACAGCCAAGGCAACAAAGGAGTGGCTCAAGAAGAAGCACAGTAAAGTCCTGGAGTGGCCTAGCCAGTCTCCAGACGTTAATCCCATAGAAAATCTGTGGAGGGAACTGAAGGTTCGAGTTGCCAAATGTCAGCCTCGAAACCTTAATGGCTTGGAGAGGATTTGCAAAGAGGAGTGGGACAAAATCCCTCCTGAGATGTGTGCAAACCTGGTGGCCAACTACAAGACCTATGTCTGACCCCTGTGTTTGCCAACAAGGGTTTTGCCACCAAGTACTAAGTAAAAGGGATCAAATACTTATTTCACTCATTGACATGCAAATCAATTTATAACTTTTTTGCCATGCGTTTTTCTGGATTATTTATTGTTTTTGTTATTCTCTCTCACTGTTATTATTATGATATTATTATTATTATGATATTTATAGAGCGCCGTCAAATTCCGCAGCGTTTTACAATGGGACTGATGATTTCTTTGTCAGTATGCAAACGTTCAAAATCAGCAGGTGATCAAATATGTTTTTTCCTTCACTGTAGTTGTTAATGGAAATATTTCAAATTGGACACAAGTGGTAAGTGGAGTGACTCAAGATTCTGTCTTTACTTCACTTTCTTTAACCTGTTTATAAATTATCTTAAATTGGGCATTTACAGTCATGTGTCTGTGTTTGTAGGTAAAACAAAATTGCCAGGGTTATCCACTAAAGTAAGAATTCAAAGCAAATTTTAAGTGTACGGCCAAAAATAGCTGAATTCTCTAAGTCAGCTATGCTTTAGTTTCGGCTGCATTGGCCTGAACTTTGAAATTCACTTTGAATTCTCACTTTAGTTAACCCTTTAACGACGAGTGACGGACGAGGTCCGTCACTCAGGGGATTGCCATAACGACGAGTGACGGACCTCGTCCGTCACCCGTTAAAATTAACCCCAGATCACCGCTATCGCAGCGATCGTGGGGTTAATGCTGCTCCGGTCTGCCTCTGTATTAGAGGGAGACCGAGAGCGCCCGAAAGTGCTGCCCCAGGTAACACAGCATGTCAGAGCGAGCACATGTGCTTAGTATACTTACCTTCCACCTCTCTGCACTTCCTGGTTCTGTGTGAAGTGCAGGGAGCCGGAACAGTGCTGATCCTGCCCTCTGTTAAAAAATAAAAAATAAAGTTTATTTAAATTTCCAACCCCCTTTACTCATTTTAATTAAAAATTAACCCCTTCCCTGCCAATTGATCACGGACTACAATGATCAATTGGCAGGGATTACATTTTACTGTCATCTGATTATTTTTTTAACCCTAAGGGGTTAAATTTATTTAAATAATTAATTTAAATATTTTAAAATTATATATTTAGCTAGCTGGGGTGGGTGGAAGTTAGTGGGGAATTGGGGGATTTGGTGTTAGGCTAACTAGGGGTTAACGTTAAAAAAAGTTTTAAAATAAACTTTAAAAAGTTAAAAAATAAGCTAAAAAAAACATTGGAACATGGACACAGCGTAAAAACTTCAAAGTTAGAAAAAGTTAGAAAAAAACTGAATGGCTGCGTCTCAAATGCGCCCCTTCAACATCTACATATACCTGGCATGGGGGTATGTTAAGGCACAATATGCACCTTATGAGATACCCTGGAGTGTCTACTTTTACAAATGTTAGGCCTTTGTGGGCTTTTTTGAATAGTCAAACTGTTATAATACCCCAAATGGAAGCATAGGCTCATTAAATCCGTCTCTCAAAATTCTACTGTGAATACTGAAAAGAACAGGCCTCCTATATGGCACTGTAACTTCACAAAATAGTGCCAAAGACATACAATGGGGGTGTCATTTTACCCAGCAGAGGTAACTGAACACAAAATAAAACTTTGTACAGGAATAGCACACACCAACTTTACAAAATACACATGAGAATTTCTTTGTTATAAGTTTGTGTGCCAAGAAACAGAAAAAACTAAATTTTACTCCAATATTTAGCAGAGGTTGGCGGTGAAATGGCTACGTAGAAAGTGTCAAAACAACCTTGGGTAAATAGCCTGTGAGGTCTACTTTATGTAAATATATACTTTTGGGTGGCAATTTTGTTTTCTTTTTTGGCTATTAAGCTTACAAGACAAACATACCAAATTCTAAAATCGCTCCACATTAAAAGTTTATTTTACACCTTGTGCTTTGTGACCTGTAACTACCAAAAAAAACTTAAAATCCCAGACACATTATATATTCTGTAAATCAGAACAACTAAATGAATTTATTTTAATTACTTTCCTTAACCTGCACTAATTATGCACACATTATTATTGCAAAAACTGTAAAAAAAAGCACAAAAAATTTCTTTTTTTTTGCATTTTTCTGTATTTTTTTTATAATAAATAAGCATTTAAAAATATATATGTGTGTGTTACATCAAATTAAAGCCCTTTCTGTCCTTTAAGAAACGATATATAATATGTGTTGGTGCAATAAATTAGTAAAATGCTAATTGCAGTTGAACGCAAACAGCAAACAATGAAAAAAATGCTGTTGTCATTAAGTGAAAGACAAGCTTCTGAAGCTCTGTCCTTTAGGGGTTAATAACCCTGCCAAATAAGATACTACATATGTATAGCAACAAAGTAGAAAAGGAACTGCACTTATTCATATGAGCGAAATGTGAGTGCTACCAGGCCAGGCACAAACTCCAAACAATTGAATTCAAGTGAGAGAAAGAAAGCACTGGCACTCCAATGCTCACATAGGTACATTTATTTATATATGATATAAATATATATTTAACATTAAAAAAAAATAAAAAAATAATGAAATGTCGCCTTACTCATGGCAACGATTACTATGGATGGTTTTACTAGACACAGTAAGTATCTTGTTTTAATTGGTTATTTCATTCATTTAGTTAATTGTTTTATTGTGTACATCATTAACTTTGCCTATAAATTGTTCACTAAAGATTGTGTGCGTTAGCTTGGCAAAGACCCATTTGGGTTGAAGCGTTGCTGGATTCACTGTGTTCCAAATAAATGTGTCTTTTTGAGTATTGGAATGCCTGGACCTTCTTTTTCCCACTTGAAATAAGGTAAAACAGTCCCTTCTCTACAGAGGGATTTGGATAAATTGGGGGACTATGCAGGCAAGTGGCAGATGAGATTCAACACAGATAAATGCAAAGTCATGCATTGTGAAATATGGAAACAACAAGCCACTAATACATTAAATGGGGTTAAGTTCGAAATAACATTAAATAAAAAAAAGGCTTAGGAACCATTAGAGGTAATAAACTAGGTGTAACGGATCCCCTATACTCAAACTGAGTATATCCGTTGTAAATCTCCCGAGTCCCAGGTGAAATATAATTATAATTTCGAGCTACCCAAACATCAGCCTAGACTTGATGAAGGGTACAAACGAACTGTTTTATTATGGCCAAACGGCCCACTTAAATACACAGACCCCCAGCATGGGGTCTCAAGCAAGGGCATAGCAAAACACGCCAATAACACGCTCTGGAGTCTCTGTGTCTGGGATATAATTTAGTGTACTTTGCTGAAACGAATTATCTCCCAGGCACTAGAGTTACAAAGTATAAAACATAAAATATAAAAAATACATATAACACTCACCTCCTCCAAATCTCACACAGGGAACCAACACTTCTACTATAATCAGATGAAACACTTCATAAACACTCAGGAACTACTTCCAAAATGCGACAGACCCCTTACCGAGTTCGAACAAATATGCACTACACTATCGCCAAAAAAGAAAATCCTTTCCTCTCTTCACTCCATACTCAGAGATGCGCTCCCGCAAAACCCTCCTAGCTACACTCTGAAATGGTCAGATGAACTGAAAATCAATTTTACCAAACAACAGTGGCGAAAAGTCTTCATCACTACACACAAACCTCAGTCTCGGTCCACGCCCAGGAGTGTAATTTTAAACGTTTAACTCGATGGCATAATACGCCCACTAAACTTCACCAATTTTATAACACATCACCAGACACATGTTGGAGGTGCACCGCTCCAACTGCCCATCACTCACATATTTGGTGGCAATGCCCAACTATTTCCAAGTACTGGAATAGGATACACTCGGTCATTCAGATGATATTCCGCAAATCCTACCCATGTACACCGGACCATTAAGTTTTCCTCCTCCCCCCACATGAATTCACGAAACAGGAGACGGCATTGTTCCGTCACCTTGCTATGGCAGCCTCACAACTGATACCTAAATACTGGAAACAGCCTTCTCCTCCCTCAATAAGGGAATGGATATCGAGAGCTGAATCCATTAAATTAATGGAAGAAATTACACTAGCAAAGCAAGGGAAAAAGGGACAATTTGAGACCACTTGGGAGCCATGGAACAACTTTGTAAACAATAAAACCTTTTACTCCTAGACAAACATAATTTCCAGCACCTCACCCCACGGCAAAAGCCCACATTTCATGTACCACTGGAGAGAATCATGTCTCTAGCGAGCTAGCCGACTAGACAGTTTGATTCTTCTCCCTTCATAGAAACAGTTCTAACCTCCCCTCCAACCCACCTCTATCCCCCTGCAACTCCTAGAGACTTGGTCCTCCAATCAAATAACCAATAAACAAAAAACCTCAGGAATTTACACTGGTGTTGAAAACGACTTATTCCAGCCATCATTTGAGGTATAATACATACCATAGATCACTTTGCGTTACTTTCTCACTAACGAGTTGTTCCGAGGTTTTTTCTTTCTTTCTTCATACTCTGACGGCGAAACGCGCCAACTAAACCATCTATGCCATTATGACATCCTCATTATGAGGAGTTGTTTACCCATTTCAAACTTCAATTGTAATAGATACTCTGTAAACAATCTATTGTTTCATTTTACTGTATTGTCTACACTGTAGAATACCATGTTTGTAATCTCGCTTTACCATTGTTTTTGTACAATTCTGAAAAATGAATAAAACAAAAATTTAAATTAAAAATAAATAAAAATAAATACATATAACACATATAGAAAACCCCCCACAAATATTATATCCCCGCATAGCCTGTATCTGAGCGCCCAAGTTGTCCAAATAGCGTTCAGATCACATGAACACAGCCGAATCGTATGATTGCATATTGTTGTATGCATGCATATTACTGTGAATGTATGTGGGTGACAAAACAGGATAAGAGGATAAGAGTTAAGAAACAGATAAGAGATAAGAGGGGGTAAAGAGATATAGAAGAATTAACTTGGGTTAAGAGACAAGGTTGAAAGGGGTATTAGGAGAAACAAACAAGAATGGTCAGGAGATACAGACAAAGGAATTTGTGGGTGCAAAGGTGTTTAAAATTTATGAGGGGGGAGGTGTCAGCATAGTGACAAGTGACTAAGTACGCATTTCCTATCTTCACTACTCTTGTAAAGGATCACTATCAATGTGATTGCATTTTTTTTTAAATGTACACTTGTGCTTTTATAGTGTAAATCGAATTTATTGGATACCAGTATGAATACACCCATTTATTACTACAATTCTTTCAGATAATACATTTATATTGCATGTGTAGAATTTATGCGTGAATAAATGATTGGGTTCCACAACATGTTTATAAGTTGCACCTTTACCTAACTTTAGAATTATTCTTGCCAGATATGCATCTTCTTTTATAAATTATACTATGTGTTGGCAAGGTGCATCAACTTGCTGATAATTTAGGAATAATATCATTCTCTATCAGTCCATCATGCATGTTAAAAGGTTACTTGTTACTCAGTGATTTGAAGTGGTCATGGTACTTGGAGTGTGACTATGAAGTATTTCCTTTGAAACACTACACATACCAAGATAGTTAGGCTAGCTGCCAGAGGTGTAACTCTACCTCCAGCAATGTTATAAGTCAGCCTGGAACAAGATTTTGGGCAGACAAATATAAATTCCGTGCATATGTCTTGCATAGAGAGTCATTCCTTGGCTGAGAGCACTGAGCTGATGCTATCAGTCAATGAATGTCCATTCGGATCAACATACAACTTTTGGAGCTCTGCAGAAAGCAGAAGTGCATCACCTGACATGTTAAAAGGTTTGGCTCTTGAGGATTCTACGTAAGAGGGCAAAACATTGCAAAATGGTTTGACCCATTACTGGGGAACAGTACCAGGATACTCCTTGCATCCTAAGCACTACAGTGGAGTGGAGTTGTTATGATGAATGAAATAACCCTTTAAACCAGCAAGAGATAGACACTTCCATATGAAGAATTGGAGAATAGCTATTTCACAGATGCAAGGAGTTTCAAGATTTCTTCAATAATGAACAATAAGCTATATACTGATCAACATACGGTCCCTCAGAAATTATATCACTGTTGAATCTTAGCATATTGGTAGACATATGCTCAGTTGCGACAATTGTAGATTATGCTAGCTTTAGTGTACCTATAATCTTAATTTTATTAATGACAGGAGGCGAGTATTTGCTTAAGCCTTTCTTTACTTAAGCTTCACAGCAGCACTTTTTTACTTAGTAACAAGGTAACCAATCAGAAAAAAGGAATAACAAGGTATATAAGTCCCTCCCAGTGATGTCATTTCCTCTTTCTGGCTGCGAACAAATAGGAACCGGAACTGAAAGGAACCAGATGAGGGATTCAGGATGCCAGACGAGAAGAGTGATGCTTGAGAGGGAAACAGGAACGTAGACTTGAGATCATGAGGAGTAGAGGTGAAGCTTGTGATGGAGCAGCAACTAGACTTGACCTCTTAAGGGAGTTTTACGCTGAAACGAGAGAGCAGAGTCGAAGCCAAGAATTAATCCGTGAATTGGACTTTGAAATTATGATAACCAGTTGATATGAAACATATATTATAGCACGCTAGAAAAGTTAATCTATATATCATAGAAAAATAACTCTTAACCCCCATGGTAGTAAGGCATAGTGTGTTCGTTCTTGTCTTAGAAACTTACCTATAGGGGCGACCCTAGGGTGGGAAAACGAAAGTAAAAGTGGTGGGAAATACTCGCCTCCTGTCATTAATAAAATTAAGATTATAGGTACACTAAAGCTAGCATAATCTACAATTTTATAACATGACAGGAGGCTTCGTATTTGCTGTTTTAACGCTCCCCGAGAAGGGCCAAGGAAGCGTGCACAGCCGGACGAAAATAGAAGTTGCGGAACGTCTGTTCTCGGGACCAGTCTGTGGATTGAAGAATGTCTCGAAGCGAGGCTCCAGCGCTGAATGCCCCCGATGCCGCCGCTCCTCTGATGGAGTGGGCTCCGAAGGAGGCTTCAATCCTGGCTTGGGAGAGCAACCACCTAACCCATCGGGCAAGGGTTGTGGTTGACACTGGATTATGTGGCCGGACGTATGAGACCAATAGTTGACTGGAAGACGTTGGACGAAGAGAGGAGGTGAGTAACAAATAACGAGAAAGAAGAGATACCACACACAGTTTCGGGTGGTTAGGGAAGTAAGGGTAAAATATAGAAGAGGAGTTTGATTTTGTCCGTCTGGACACAGAGAAAGTGACACCCTCTGGGGAAAAGTTGATAGCGTCATGGTCAAATGCTCGAACATCCGACACTCGTCGGAAGGACACTAAGCAAAGTAATAGGGTGAATTTTGCCGAGAGTTGACGGAGGGATAGATCTTCGTTGTTCGGCCAAGTCTCGAGGAAACGAATCATGACATTAACGTCCCACATATGGGAGTATTTCGGTTTAGGGGGGCGAGCCAGTTTGATGCCCCGCAATAGTCTACAAACCAGTTGGTCCTGGCCCACCGGAACGCCGTCTAGAGGAACATGGGCTGCCGAGATGGCTGAACGGGAAACGTTGATGGATCTGTAGGAACGGCCTAGATCGAATAGATGAGAGAGGAAATTCAAAATGAACTGTCTAGGGGCCGTAAGGGGATCGGTATTCCATTCCAGGCACCAATTGCACCAAGCGTTCCAGGAGGAAAGATAGCATCTTCTAGTTCCAGGGGCCCACGAATCCCAGAGGAGTTCTTTAGATCTCTGCGATAGTCCTCCGAAGTGCCAGGTTCCCCTGAAAGAGTCCAGGCTACAAGGTGGAGGTGGCCTTGTGTTATCATTGGATGAAGGTTCCCTTGAGGGTCCTCTAGGAGATTGGGCCATGGAGGCAGAAGGAGGGGCTCTTGGCAGGAGAGGTCCAGAAGATCCGGAAACCAAGCTTGGCCCCGCCAGAGTGGAGTGAGTAGTACGAGTGTGACCTGTTGTCTGCGAATCTGAAGGAGAACTCTGGGAATCATCGCAAACGGAGGAAAAGCATAGGCTCCCGTCGTCGGCCAACTCTGAAGGAAGGCATCTACCGCTGAACATTCTGGGTCTGGAAGCCAGCTGAAGAACCGTGGGACTTGAAAATTTGTCCGGGAGGCGAATAGGTCTAGGGTAAACGGGCCCCTGAGTTTGGAGATGTGGAGGAAGATTGTTCTGTGTAGGCACCAGTCGCTGCCGTCTCTCCAATGTCGGGAGAACCAATCCGCGGTGATGTTCGATTCCCCTGGGAGATATTCCGCTCGAAGTGAGATGTTGCGTTGGAGCAAAACTCGTAGATGTCTTTTGTCACCTCGGAGAGGATGCGGGATCTGGCCCCGCCCAATTTGTTGATGTATTGGACAGCTGAGATGTTGTCCATCCGAAGGAGAATACAGCAGTTTGAGAGATGATTGGTCAAACTGCGAATTGCGAACGAGCCTGCGATTAACTCCAGACAATTGATGTGGAGAAAGTGTTCTGAAGTGGTCCATGGTCCTCCAGTGGAGGTTGTATGACAGGTTGCACCCCAGCCCTGGAGACTCGCATCTGATTCCACTACATAGTCTGGGGTAGGACCGAAAATTGCCTTGCCGTTCCAGGCCGACATGTGGCGGAGCCACCAAAGGAGTTCCTCCCTCACCTCCGTAGTGATCGGGACCCTCTGGTCGTATGATGGATGAGTCCGGAGGAATTGAGCTTTCAAGCGTTGCATGGCCCGGTAGTGAAGGGGGCCTGGGTAGATTGCCTGAATAGAAGCAGAAAGTAGGCCTACGATTCGAGCTAAACCTCGGAGAGGTAAATCTTCTTGACGAAGTGTTTTGCGTAGTTCCTTCCTGATCGCAGTTAACTTGGATTGAGGTAGGCGAAGAACACAGGTTGAAGAGTCGATCTCGAAGCCGAGAAATTGAATAACTCTGGATGGGGACAGTGACGATTTCTCTTGGTTTATGACAAACCCCAAGGATTCGATCAATACATATGTATAGTTCGTCTGTGAACGCAGCCTGGATGCGTCTTCGCAGAGAAGCAAGAGGTCGTCGAGGTAGATCAAACAACGGATGCCGTTTTCTCGAAGATGTGCGGTGACTGGTTTGAGCAGTTTGGTGAAGCACCACGGGGCGGAACTCAGGCCGAATGGAAGGCAGGTGAATTGGAAAATCCGGTGGTGCCAAAGAAAGCGGAGAAAACGTTGGCTGGATGGGTGTACTGGTACCGAGAGGTAAGCGTCCTTTAGGTCGAGACGAGTGAATCAATCGCCTGGTCGGAGAATGTCTCTGAGGAGATGAATCCCTTCCATTTTGAAATGTCTGTAAATAACGAAAGAGTTCAGTTGACGGAGGTTGATTACTGGGCGAAAGTCCCCTGATTTCTTCTTGACTAAGAAGATGGAGCTGAGGAAACCTTTGTCTAGTGGAGCGAGTTGAATCGCTCCTTTTGTTAGAAGTGAACCTAGTTCTGAATCTAGAAGAAGACTCTGAGACTTTGACATTTTTGGATAGTGAGGATAATCTATTTGAGAAGGGGAAGAGTGAAACTCTATGGAATAACCCTGAACTGTGTTTAGGACCCAGGTATCTGAAGACAGTGTCTTCCACATGTCTACACAGTGTGACAACCTGCCCGCATGATAAACAGTAGAAAGGTGAAAGGTAGGAGATCTCACCTGTTGGGTATCTGTTGCGTCCGCGGGATCTGTATCCTCTTCCTTTATCCGCCCTTTGGGTGTAAGAGCCTCTTGATTGATAGTTGGGGAAGAATGATGAAGTTGGGGTTCTCTGGCGTTGGTTTGTGGTCCAGAAACGGCTGACTGTACGACCCCTTGTACGGCCAGCCCTGCCAAAAACCCGTGAGGGTTGATGATGAAACACCCTTTTCATGGATGACTGCGCCTTGTTTAGTGTGGCGTATAGGTTTACATGCTTATGTAATTCTTTAATATAGGGTTCTCCAAACAATAGACCCTTTGCTTTGGGGCCCAATTCTTTGGTTCCCAAGTCAGCTAACTTGGCATCCATACGCAGCAGCACTGCTTTTCTACGCTCAGTACAGAGGGATGTATTCGCATTGCCCAGCAGGCAAATAGAGCGTAGCGCCCATTCTCTAATCACAGATGGGTCTAGAGGGCCTTCATTAGATAAGGCTTCATCAGCCAGTAGAAGAATTTTAGCTAGAGGTCCTAGGATATCTAGCATTTTGTCTTGGGTTAGGCGTAGGCTGCACTCAATGCCCTTCTTTGGGTCACGGCCCGATCTGGCCAAATATGTGTAGAGTAGCGTATCAAACTCCGGGGTCACCGCGACCTTATCCGGTAGAGTGGGTCTAGGGCATTCCGCTCGTAGTCTTTTCCAGATCTCCCGATCTAGGGGTCTTCTGATCCAGTAATGAATATACTGGGAAAGATGATCTGGTAGAGACCATTCAGATGATCGGGGATATCTAATTTGCCTCGGGTCAAAAAGAGGCTGGCCAAGTGTATCTAGAAAAAATTCTGCGTCCCCAGATGGATTCGATCCGGGTATTGTAACTTCGGTTGGGAGTTCTCCCATGATAGATTGAGGGAGAGGTGCTCCTTTAAAAGGAGTCTCGGGCCAGTCTTCCTCATCTTCTGAGGAGTGGTCAGCTTGCCATTCATCTAGGATGGCTAAGGGGTGTAAGTCGAAAGAGTCTTCCTCCTCTTCCGACAGAGTAGGCTGGATGGAGTGTTTCTCTCTAACATCCGCCTGTTTAGGGCGTTTCGCCGGTTCTTTCCCCTTACGTTTGAGTGGTTCAGGCCCATTCCCTTTCCAATAACGTTTACTGGGTTTGGAAGGGTTTCTTTTTGAGGAGTCGGAATCCTCCGCATCTTCATCAGAATGCGGGGTCTGGAATTTTTTGTCTCTTTTGATTCAACGGGCAGCACCCGAGCCAGGGCCTTTTCTAGTGAAGCAGCAACAGCTGCATTAATAATTGCTTGCAAGTTTTGATCTTGATTTGAAGCCTCCATAGCAACAGTGTTGGTACCTATGGGGCAGAATAGGCCAGTGTTAGAGTGTATTGTAAGGCCGTCACGAAAAATCACAGTATGTTATAATTCCACATTGCAAGCTGTAATTGGGGGTCACCCAGTATAAATCACCTCAGGGAATACTTTTACATACCCGTATAGAGGTATAGTGGCACAGACAAAGCGGGCCAATCATGGGCTGTATAAAATAACAGCAATCATATTTTAAATTTAGGTAATTAACCTTATACACATGCACAGTGTAAATATGAGATGTATCAATCATAAAGGATATATGTGGAATAGTTCAAAATAAATATTTAGAGAAATGTGATTCCAGTTATTGGTAGGACTATATTGGTGTAAATCCAAGTAAAACAGTATTGTATTGAGAATAAAATGTGCAAGGTAGTTTATATGCAGTATAAGTTTCTCCACTAGAGGGAGGTAGTCTGAGATAAAGATGCACTAATCTATGAAGTGAAGCTCCCTCCTTTGTGAGTGAGGGGAGTATGCAGGAAATTATATTAAACTTATAATAAAATTGAATAATGAAAAAAGAAGATTTATGTAACTATATATAACCGCTGTGTAAAGCGGTATAATGGCCGCCGCACGGCCGGAGAAAAGCAGATCGCGGCTCCAAGAAAATGGCCGCCGCGATCTCGCGTGTGCGCACTAGAGAAGGGAGGAAGCCGTTTGGATCTCGCGGAGGAGCGCGAGATCCAAGATGGCCGCCGTGCGCACTCAGGACCGTTGGGGGCATTCCCCACGGTCTGAAAAGCCCGGGAAAACGGGGCAAGAATGCCGCTCAAAGAAAAACCGGGTTAGAGCAAAGGTGAAAGTAATAAAATGGCAAAGGGACAAAATAAACAGGAAAGTGAGAGATAAATAAAGAAATAAAGAAATACCAAAGAAATAACTAAATGAGGAAAAAATATATATTTAATAGATGAGTTTAGGAATATAATAGGTAGATGAGCAAACTCAAAAGTATGTGGTATAAGTAGAATAAGTATATATAAACAGAAATATGAATAAAGCAGATGACAGATAGATAAATAAATAAACCACAGAAACCCACAGAAGTAGGAGATATTTTATTTGTAGGATTTCAGGAATATAGTTGCCATTTTAATCTGATGTATTTTTATTAGATTGCCAGTAAATATTCGAGGGCTTTCAAAGAACTTTCTATTACATATGTTCATTGCATATGTTCATAGCTGTGAAATATTAGCAAATATTAGCTGGAAAAACCAGTTCACCCCTATAATAATTAATGTGTGACTAATGATGATATAAATATGTGATAATCTCCAAAACAATACTTATCATGGTAGATGTCACCTATGGAATTTCTGGAACTAATCATTTTTATAAAACTTTATTTAAAAGTATTAAAGTTAGAGTTGAGTTAGAGATAACCTTAAATGAAAAGTACTTGGTAATATTTATAGACAACAAACTAAGCAACAGTATACAATATGATTTTTACTATTAATATTGTTGTTTTGTAAGGAAACAACCGTTTCCAGAACTCTTTGCAAGTGAATTGAATTATAAACTAGTTGACAAACAAGTGAAATGAAACTGATGTGAAATGAAACTATTGGAAAATTAGATTTTTTTTTAGTGATCACCTGACAGGATATATATCTATTAAATTAAATATAGAATTTATGACAATTATGACAAATTAAAATATACATGAATTAGAAAAAGCTCATTTACATTACAAAGCATAGTAACTTAGTGTGAAAAAATGGTAACAGTTGTTGCTGTTTAAGGCATGGTGGTGACCAATGACCCATGTTCATCATCATCATCATCAGTTGACTCTTTAACTGTAGTAATGGGAGCACAAACAAAGATGAGTGGGAAAGCCAATATCAATAAGAATATGTTAATATGCAATAGCAGAATGAACATGATCTTTACTAATATGAAAGAGATATGGCACATGCAACTGATGTGAAGGTTGGATCTGTATGGCAAAGCAGAAGAGGATTGATGGACTAGGGACTAAGCAGTCTGTTGAGATGAAAGATGGAGAAAAATAGTGGCATAGGAGTGGTAAAAAGTGAATATTGAAATAAAACTGGTAGGATCTTTTCAGTGGATCTGTTGTGAGATGGAAGGAGAGAAAATAGAGGGTAAAGGGAATGGAAAGTAAAATGAAAAATTATTTAGGAGAAAAGAAGAGATTTACATGAAGGAATCTCAAAGCTGGCATGTGCTCTGGACCTGATTTACATTGTGAGATTGTGAGTACCTGTAGGCACCAAATTTGCAAGGGCCCCCAAATCCTGGCTTTAAATATGATAGAAACATGTTGTATGTAAAACATGTGTAGAGTATGTGTATGTGTGTGTAGAAGGTGCACACATGTAGCAGTGCTTGTAAATGCCTGTTGTGTATGTCTATGTGTATTTATGTGCACGTGTGTGTTTGTGTAGTAGTGTGTACATGTACACAGTGTGGTTAGAGTGTGTGTTTGTGAATGTGTGTGTAACAGTGTGGGTACTGGCATGTGCGATAGCAGCAGTGTGTGTTTGTGTAGGTAACATTGTGGATAGCAGCATGAATGGGGGAATGAGAATGACATTGAGATAAACAAGGAGGGCAAACACAAATTGAGACAAGCAGGAATTTTAATGAGATGAGGAGAGATTGAATAAAACACATTTGGGCACTTTCAGAAGATTTGTCACTGAACATTTTGATTTGATGGCAGATATTTTTTAATTTGCAAGCAGTTACCAATTTTGAGATCATTAATAAAATGATTTTAAAAAAGCAAACTCAAAAGACAACCTGGAGATACTCTGCTTACCAGTTTTGTTTCTACTAGAAAATATTCCATTAACAACTACTCTCTGCACTTTGTCTTAAAATTGAAGGACAGAATCCCAATTCTAATTAAGTTTCCTAGTTGTTTTCTCTATTTTTGTGCATGGGCGCTGTTTACCTGGTGTAGAGGTGGCAGCAGGATGTACTATGGAAGAAGGTAGGCTGACGGAGGCAGTGTTATGTTCTGCTTGGAAACCTTGGGTCATGGTATTCATGTGGATGTAACTTTGACACGTACCACCGGCCTAGCAATTGTTGCAGACCACATATAGTCCTCAACGGTAATGGTGTTCCCTGATTGTTCCCTGATGATAGTGACTGCTTTCAGCAGTATAAAGCACCCTGCCACACTGCAAAAATTGTTCAGGAATGGTTTGAGGAACATGACAAAGAGTTCAACATGATGCCTTGGCCTCCAAATTCCCTAGATCTCAATCTGACTGAGCATCTGTGGGATGTGCTGGTCCAACATTTATGGAGGCGCCTCCTTTCAATTTGCAAAACCCAAAGGATCTGCTGCTAATGTCTTGATGCCAGATATCACAGGACATGTTCTGACATCTTGTGGAGTCCATGCCTCAAAGCATCAGAACTTATCTGTCAGCACAAGGGGGACCTACACAATATTACAAGCTAACCCTTCCTCCAGATAAAAATAAAATCAGCAGTCTACACATTCATTTCTGAAAGTTTTTAATTTAATATATATTTTTTAATTCTTTATTTATGCAGTGACATAGTTGTGGCAAATCCACTGTCTAAAGACTTGTGAAAAAGCCAAATCAGGTTTTACAAATCAATGTTTGGAATACAAGGCATGTCATACAGTGGTGTTTGGTATAATTACTATCTGTCACTGTTTAATATTTTATAATGAAAAGAATAACACAGAAAGAAAAATAACGAATAGGAAAAGACAGGGAACTTGAAAAGGGCACCATATTAGCATTTTTAGGGGTGTCCTAAATTTTACCATCAAACCTGCCCCACTTCTCAATATTTTTTTTAAATTTAGTAGCTGGTGTTTCTTAACCAATGACTCACAAGGATGATCAACTGCAGAAGAACATCAATATAAAAAAACAACATCTAATTAACATTAAAATGTATATTTTGAGATTTTTTCCCCCTTTTTTCCTTTTTTCTTTCTTTTCTTTTTCCTTTTCTTTTATACATCAGAATATGGTATTTGTTGTTTCATGTTTTACAAACATCAGAGTCAACAATATCAAATACCCAATCATCATTTGTTTTGTTTCTATTTCCTTTTTCTTTTCTTCTTTGTATATATAGCCACATAATCTCCTAATTTGGAGAAAAAATAAAACAGTAAATACAGAAATTCACAATCCAGGGTCTAATATTTTTATCCATCTGTCCCAAAAACTATAAACGTGGCCCTTCATCTGAGCAAAGTTAGTAATAGCATGTTCCATTTTACACTGTATAATGCTTTGAGAGTGAATCTTAGGCCAGCTATCTACCCTAGAAGACTTCCAGTTTCTGGCTATTGAGGTTTTAACAGCCATTATAAAGTGTAAGATAACTGGTCTAGATTCTCCATATCCATATGTAATAAAGCCATATTTGAAGTCAGTTTAAACGTCATTTCTAATAAAGTTGATAAATAATGGTTTGTCATCTCCCAGAGAGGTCTAATTTTTGGGCAATCCCACCAAATGTGTTTGAAATCTGCATTTGGCTCAGTGCATCTCCAACAGTTGGAGGAGGCTGCAGGATAAATTTTTGAGAAAGCCACTTTGCCACTGGGGTTTGGAGGGGACTACTTGACAGCCTTTTACTCTGTGACTATAGCCCCTTTAATTTATTGTGGTTGAGAGACCCTATTTGTGGCTAATGGGACTTTAAACAATGGTTCTTCGAACTCCCGAACAGTTGAAGTGGCCGTCATTCGACATTCGAACATGTGGTGGCGGCCATCTTGTTCGCATGGACAAAAACCACGAATAGACTTTGGGAGACTTAGATACGAATGCCCTGGAACTATTTTCAGCATGAAAACCTTGTGGTTCCCGGTCGGTCCTCCAGCAGTACTTAGCCACGATTCTATGGAACTGTTTTGCGCATGGGACCATGCCTGTGCCTGGGCAAAAATATGACTTCCATAAAATTTCTGAACCCCTTATCTGATCTGGGTGATTTTTGGATATGTTCACCTATTAAGGGATGTAAGATTTATGTGGATATGTTGTGTGTTGGGGTACTTATAGTACACTATAAAAATGTGTGTTTTTTTCTGCCAGGGGATAATTGAGTTAAAGCATTATCTGCCTTAATTATATCATAGGCAGAGGGGAGGGATTGTGTACTGCATGTGGGAGTGTCATTCATTGTCACAATCTTTCTATTGGCTTGTACACTGGGCGTCACCTTTGTTGGGAAACCTGCATAAAAGGCCAGTGCGCCTCCATTAAAATTGAGTTCCTGTTTAACCCTCAATACGTAGTCTTGTCTCGTAATTGGAGGGGAACTGCTTTATTCACAATGGGGATATACTCTTTATACTCTCCAGGGTTCTAACCAGTGGCTCTTTTAAGAGATGTTCCTGCTATGCTCTCTGGAGTAAGAGAGGTCTTTCCCACACAGTCCTGGATGTCAGAGGTTGGTCCAGGTAAATGGCGAGATTCCAGTAAAGCTATGGTGGTTGTGGAGTCTGCGGTGCTTGTGGTGATGATGCGGTGCATATGGTCCTCAGAGTCAGCTTGGAAGCATCTGTTGGCGGAGGTGCCCAGTCGGGGTGCCAGGTTATCCGTCACAATGTTTTAAGAGAGTTGTTCCATTCTTTCATAGTTGTGTCTATTTTCAAATCATAATTCCATTTAACAATTGCCAGGGTAATTGATTTAATCTGGGCCTTATAAATTAGTTTTTGACATTTGTTAACTAAATGAGTATAATCTGTTTGCTCAAGTATTTTGTGAGAGGAACTTAACTGGTGGTTCAAGAGAATTAAATCTCAAGTATGGTTTTAAGAAGGATATTAACCTTATATAATTTTAAGAAGGATATTAACCTTAATCTTGGTGCTCCTCCTACCTCTCCCAGCGCTCTTTCAGTGTTTCTTTCTCTGGCTCTGCTTCTTCTCCCCAACTCCTTTCTGTTGGTGTCCCCCTACTGTTCTCCATCTATACTGCCTCCCTTGGTAAACTCATTCGCTCCTTTGGCTTCCAATATAATTTCTATGCAGATGACACGCAAATCTACCTGTCCTCTCCTGATCTCTCCCCATCCCTCTTGACTAGTGTCTCTTACTGCCTCTCTGCTGTTTCTGACTGGATGGCTGCCCACTTCCTTAAACTAAACTTGACCAAAACTGAAATTCTGGTCTTTCCTCCCTCAAGTGTTGTTACTCCTGTGTCTGTCTGTCTCCAAGTCAACTGTGCTACCATCAGCTCCACCACGCAGGCTCGCTGCCTAGGTGTTCTCTTTGACTCCGACCTCTCCTTCAAGCCTCATGTTCAATCTATTGCCAAATCCTGTCACTTCCATCTCAAAAACATTGCGCGCATCCGCCCCTACTTAACGCCAGATGCGACTAAGGTGTTGGTGCATTCCACTGTCCTTTCTCGCCTTGACTACTGTAATCCACTTCTCAGTGGTCTTACGTGCTCCCAACTTGCGCCGTTACAGTCCATAATGAATGCGGCGGCGAGGCTCATCTTCCTGTCTGCCCGCACCCCCCATGCCTGCTTCCTATAAAATATAGAGCTAAATTTAAAATTCTGGTTCTTGCTTTCAAATCGCTACATAATGCTGCTCCCACCTATCTATCCTCCCTTATACACAAGTATGTCTCGTCTAGGCCCTTACGATCTGCTGAAGACTTACGTCTATCTTCTGTCCGTACTCCCACCTTCCCCCGCTGTTCATCTAATAGACGCCACCGGTGTATTCACATGAGTCCCCATCATCCCATTTCCCCCACAACCCCCATTAGGATACACTTAGCTGTGCCACATTTACAGAGGAACCAAACAGTTCATGAGGTAGCTTTCAGTCCATGTGTTCCATTTCCAACTCCCCTCACAGTGTACAAGTCTCTGGGAAAAGATGGAAAATCATGGCGAGTAGGCTTGGGTAGAGCCATCTCCGGTGGCGCTTCAATGCCCATTCTAGCAAGGAACTGGTTCGGGTCTTCTCCAGGTGACAGGGCCATGGTTTTCCTGTTATTAAATACGAGCAACTTAAATGGCTGTCCCCATGTGTACAGAACGTCCTTCTATCTCAATAGTGTCATGATGAGTTTCCATTCCTGGCGTCTCTGCAATGTAGACGGGGAGAGATCTTGGTAGATCGCTATGGTGGCTGTTTGATAAGTCAGTTTGTGTGCCCTGCTATACTGCAGGACTGCTTCCTTAGTGGAGAAATAGTGGAATCGCATGATGATGTCCCTGGGCATGGCACCTTCCATTCTGTGGGGCCGGAGTGCGAAGGGCTTCCGATCAATTACTCATTTATCGTCAGGAACCTCTGGTAGAAGGTGTTTGAAGTAGTGCTGCAGCTTATCCAGCAGGGAGCCTTCATTAGGCATTTCTGGGAGGCCCTGAATCCGGAGATTGTTGCATCTGGACCTATTGGCCAGGTCTTCCATGTGCATCTCCAGGTCTCTTAATTGCCTGTCCATGGAGTTGGTATGGGTCATAGTGGCTTTGTGGGCCTGCACTATGGTCTCGACCCAGTTTTCCAGGTCCGTTGTGCGCAGCCCTAGGGCTTGAATTTCACCTTTTACTTCCTCTGAGCTCCGGGCAATTTCCTCTGCCAGGTAGTTCCTGACTTCCATCAGCTTGGTGAGTA